GAGGAACAATAGTTGTTGGCAGTTATCACGTTATCGTGTGTTGCACCAGGATTGCTTCACTACTTTAATTCCGTAATTCAGTAGTGACACGCTACAACGAATCGTGTCATGCCCGTTCCCGGTGCGGCATAATGGACTGGTAGACCCACAATTCCGGGTTGATAAATAAATCAGCTCGGAGAAACATCTCCACGGCGGTGACTCCTCCACGGTTCTGGGAAGCTCACTTTCTCAAAATCCGTTACAGTGAAGAAAAATAGGCGCTGCTTGAGGAGTTCTTCTGATGGACAGAGGGTGGTATGTACTCTACGGTCACGAAGAGACTAGACCTACCGAAGGAACACATTGTTCACCTTCATAACCTATTGAGCAATACTGCAAAATGTAGGTGTGACACTCAGAGAGTACCTCATATAAGGTTAGTCAATAGCTAGAGGCCTGCCTAACACAGCCAGCAGGTTCTCCAGGTTACGCGCTGGAACAGGCGTGGCCACTTGCTCCCTAAAAACTTAGGCTACTCTGACGGTCTTCCGCCAACCACCCCTGCCCTTCGGTAAGGATTTTGAGCTGAAGACTTTGATTGAGGACCCCAATCGTCTTTCTATCGAGGTGTGGACGCCCTGGCTGTATCCTAGCCCACACATAACCATGAATTCCAAACTTCCAAATAGTTTCGTCCCACGTCGACCATCACGTGCTATCATCAGCCGGGTAACCTTTGATAAATTTGAAACTCTCCTTCTTCTTACCCGGTTTCTGGCGGCACCCCCATTAGCCAATGCTTGAGGACTGACAGGTCTGCTCACCGCTCATTGCCGCTAGCTGCAGTATCTAGTTGTCCCAGCCACCACGGCCAGACACTTGGAAATCGTCATCCGAAACCCATCGCACACTTTATCTGGCAGCCTTTAACGTTCACACATTGGAATGAACTGAACAAGACTGCCATTGCATGTACGCTGTACTCGCTTTCATGGGCGAGATGGGTCAAGTGGTTAGAGGGCACATTTACTGACCGGAAGGTCCGCGTTTTGAATCCGACCTCTGCCCCTTAACTTCCCCTGTCTAGGCTTGGGAAACCTGACAGTATCCTAGCCGTCGTGCTTCCTTCGGGTGGTATGGCAGCTAGGAACCGAAAGGGCGCTACAGATGAACGATTATTTATTTTTCTGTTGATTTGTATCGCTTGTCTGCCTGAAACGAGGACTCAGGACTCTAATACACTTGTTGAACAAACCTCCACAATGGTTTCCGTTTGCTTCTGGTTGCGCACCTTTAGTAATCTAGAAACGGCTGTTGGTGGTCGGTAAATTTCTAAGCCACAAAGCCGAATGGTTGCCCGTTGATAGTCACCTCTGTGCCGTTCGTTTGGTGAAGCCTGTGAGGTTATTCTGCAAACGCACCGATAATCGCTGCCCGTGCTTACGGTGCAACAGACTGTGACTTGGTACACCCAAAGTAGTATTACAGCACTTTGAACGCTTTGTTGCGGCTGCCTAAGAGCCCATATACTGTTGTGGTTATCGGGAAAACGAACGTCCAAGTAAGTGGAATTTGACCTACCAAGCTTCAGTTGGGTGGAATTGAGACACAAAGGTAACGGCGAAAGTCTACTGCAGTTAGGTGCTGAAACAGACCATTTCTGTGCAATACTAACTTCGGAAAAAATTGGAGTCGCTTGGCGAAATAATGTCCACACCCCAAGCACACGAACAAAACTCAGAAGCAGATAGATGACATCGTCATCGGCTATACGTAACATGGATCAGTTACTGACTGTCAGTTGCTCTGGAACACCTGTAAAGATTCGGATCGCACGTTGGTTCGTTGCCACTTCTCGCTGTGCCTTTCGGAGACGTGCAAGATACACGCACCAGGCCTGGTCTTTAGGAAGCCTTCAGATCCTTATGTGAAACAAGTCTACCAGAACCACTTGATGAAGTACCTTCCGAATAACACACTTGATGCTCACCTACTGCAGGTTACTGTCCGCACCCCTGCAAGCTACTGGGCGCTCCACTTGTGAAAAGATTCACCTAACTAGACCTAGGTACTGAATTTCAGACAACACTCTAAAAATCATCGTTTTCCTCCAGCACAATACCACTAGACGAACTACCAGACTTCAGGTGGAAAAGAGGATCTGTACAGTCCGGGGAGCTTAATGGACTCAGAAGGCTGAAAAGATGGAGGAGGAAGGGAACTTCATGAATGTTGGTAAACTGTTCCAGTAGACAAAAGTAGCGCGCCCCAAAATCCTCCGGTGAGCGGAACAATCACTGGTAACAGCGGGTCGCTTACCCGTAAAAAAGAACAGCGCCTGAGTTGTTATGCTGAACACTTACAAGAACAATTCAACTGGCTAGGTGAAATTGCCTAGCTGTATTTCCGACCCACTGTCATGGGCAGTAAACCTGGAACCCTCGACGGCTTCCGAAATTAGCGAATGCCTTTCATCCTTGAGGTGTCACCGAGCTGCTGGTACTAACTCTCACCCGCTCTGCTCAAAAACAGAAGTGAAATTCTCAGTCGGTGCTTGTCTAACTTAATTCTCTCTGGTCGAAACAGACCGTCTGAACTAAATGGGACCAGTCGATGGTGGTGCTCGTTTTCAAAAATGGCAATCACAGTGAGTATAGCAATTGCAGAGTAATTAATTTGGTCTTCGCTGTAACTAGAATCTTTGAGTCAATTAGTCCAGGTCAGCTTTCAAAAACGCGTGAACAAGAGATCTTAAAATGAAAAACACGATTCCTGTCAGGAAGTGGCTTTGTGGACCACATCTTTACAATCCGTCGAGTGCTAGAGAAAAGAACGCATACGGTGCCATAAAATTTCAATGTTTCTTGTCTCCAAGACTGCGTTCGGTTCTGTCGACCGGTTAGTTTTTGTGAGTAAACACACGAGGGAGGGTATACCTCGATCTTGTGGGCTTGTGAGAGTTCCAGAACGTTCCAAAAAGGATTTTCTACAAGTGACGATGTAGAACAATTTCGTTGAATTTCACCATTGATGAGGCAGTGAGGCGAACCCTGGAACGTTTCCGAAACCCAGGAGTTTATCCGGAATATGCAGAGGACACTGTTCTCTCCTTAAACAATGCGGGAAGAGCAAGAATTACTAGAAAAACTGACCAAAGTCATCGAGTTCTTGCGCATGTACTTTGCATCCACAGATTTCAAAATCGTGTTCAGGACAATCCAACGGCCATCGTTGAGAGTGGAGGTTGTGGAACGCTATAGACATCCAGGAAATTGCATTAGCCCTGAAGGTGGTGTGGCAAACGAAGTCAACGCACAAATCTCAAAGATCTGAATCGCGTTTGCCAATATGCGTCACTTGTGGCATTAAAAGCATATCTCACCGGGTCTCAAAGAACGACTATATCAGATTACAGTGCGGGCTGTATTCTTGTACGGCCGCGGGAATTGGCTACTTTATGTTTAGGATATGGGTCACCTTCAAGCCTTTAATCACCAACGCCTCCGAATTATGGCTGAAATCGGCCTGAATCAGGGGATTCCAAGTCAGGAGATCAGGAAGTGGGTGTTTGATAAAGTAGAAGGTACTTAACTCAAAGAATGCATTCAGCACTGCAAGCTAAGTTAACTGGGCCCTGTTACGCATGCCGAGAAAAATGCTGCTTTCCGCACCTGATTCGAAGTAGCGGGAACCTAGAGAAGGACAAAATTTGACAGGGCAGAAGGGAATGAAGGATGCTACGAAAATTTTTAAACGCTGTTGATGCCTTCCAGTATGGGATCCTTGTGACCTTTGACGGCCAACTGATTTCAGTGGCATTCATGCCGTCAGTTTCTCTATCCAGATTGTCTGACTGGTTGTTGCAGATTTAGGCTAGCCGTAGGTTACCCTCCCTCCCCCGTTTCTTTCTTTCCATTATAGCTCCTGCTTGAAAGAAACTGAGATGGTTGTATGACACTGAAGCATCTGGTTCTGCTGTCAGTGATGATGGTGATGGCATGTATTCTAACTCTAGCTGGAAGACCGGTAATGAGCGAACTCCAATAAGATAAGCAACGACTCTGACAAGAAGGCATGGACTGAATCGGAAGCAACAACAAAGAAGGGTAGTTGGTACTTGCTATTATCGTGATTAATATGGATAGAACCTGGAATGCGATTGGCCTTTCCTTCTGTCTCGTTAAGCATGCGGAAGTGCATGAGTTTGAGTGAGGCAGGGAGTGGCACCACCAGAATCGCCTCCTCAACGGTATATTTCCTTGGACTTCGACTACCATCACTAGTGACGTCTGTCATTGTATGGCGCCAAAATAGACACGATGGTGTTGTTCGTAAGTAATTCAAACCATGTATCTGCTCAAAACCATACACTTTGGTGTTCAAGCGTTTAGTCATCCCTACCGATGTATCAATTTAGTGATTTCTCAGGGCAACAAGCCCGCGACGACACAACAAGCGACTTTCCGTTGCCTCCTTCGTGCATAGATAACTTGAGGTGACATAAGTACGTAAAATGTGCGTATCACAGCCTCTCGGTATTACAGATCCTATAAAGCTACCCAACTAGAATGACACAGAGAAACCTTGAAGCTATGCCTTGCGACACTTAGTTCTAAAAAAATGCATTCACGGGTCATCAAAAACCGCTAGAGATTCCGCTTGCCGCATGGATGATCCATTGGGCTCGGTTTAGGTACACAGTCAGGAGGCAACCTATCGATGATTAAGCAACTTAAACGCAAGGTCTGTTAAAGATATAATTCCAAGTGTAATTCTAAGTAGTATTGCGCATTGAGCGTGGAGGCTTGGTTGCTATAGCACTGAGTGACGTTTGTGTGTGTGCACCACGGGAACACAAACAGCACCTGAAGCACACACTGGGATTTGAATAACAAGCAAACTGGTTTGCGTCTCGACGTCATTGGCTTCAAAATCAGCGAAAATCAATGTGAAACTGGATACGGTATCTCCTCTGTTCAGAGAATAAGAACGCAGGTATCGAAGAAGTGTACTAAATAGGGAGGTCGGCGAGGAGGGACAAGCTGCAGTGAGGACTGTGCAGGTCAGATATAGACAAAGAACTATACGCCGGTAGTAATATTTCTTCGATCAGCTGGGTTAGAGGTCAGAGTGGTTACGATAGTTTCAAAACCGCAGTGGTTCCAGAATTGCTGTATGGAATCAGAATCCTGGGGTGAGGTGGGCGTGATTTGCCAGAGGGCGAACTTGAAGCGGTTAGATTCGTTCAATGCGTTGGAACGTAGAGGACGTGCCTTGATCTTCCACTTGGAGTGAGGCTGTTGGTGGGTCAGTTCCCGTGCAATAATGTGTGCGTTGTTCAACGCAGCGCCCTCCGAGTGCTAAATGATTCAAAAAAAGAAGACACTAACGTTGGTGGGCTTGAAGAACGATATGTGGCCAACAAAACCGATCTGGTTTAACAACAATCTAATAATAGTTGCTTCGGAACTGCCTATATAAAATGCTTTTGAGCAATCATGGGATTGGTTACATATCCCAGACTAAAACTAAGCCGTTCGGAGGAACACCACTACCCAAGCTAGGAGTCTTGTGATCCGAGTCTCTGGATTCGGCTACCAGTCCTTTACTAGAACGACACGTGCTCAACTCAGCCGTAGAAGACCTACTTCGCTTTTCGCTCGTATTTCTTCCAAGGCTCCTGAAATTCTGATCTACCTATGCATGTGGTCTGACTCTCACGTCATAAAATAAAGACACAAATAGAAAGAATAAAAATGTCCCGATTTAATGTGACCTCCTCCACAAAATAGAGGCTAACGAGCTCCTTTCACGACAGCATTCTCTCTTCAGGCGGATGCTTGTAACTGACTAACGATACTAGAAACGATTCAGTGATGACCGACGGAATCAAAAACCCTTATGAACGTGATAGGTTGCAAATGGGAACTGGATGGCGTGGAAGGCCGAGAAGCACCATACAGCTGTTTCATCCCGGTTCGGTATCACCAGCAGAGTGCACCTCACAAACTCTTGACCGACACCACTTTCGAGCTATATGTGTGCTGAAACTCCACTTACGCGGACTGTAGTAACGGCTCAACACAATTTCATCGGGTTCCTTCTTTTCTTAGCGGACTAAGCGTAACAGAAATGTTGGCAAATCTTCAGCAAAAGCTTCTGATAGGATGGGAATGCATTGAGTAGGACTCACTGAGGAAGCGTGCGGGCAGTAGTACACCGCTAGATTTCCACAGTAAATAATCACTGGTTTCGCAGGTTCCACTGATAGTAGAGCTTGCACAACCTTCATAAATGAGAAGAATAGTGAAAGTGATAAAATGACCGTTGGTCTTCAAAATTAACCAAAGTTTTCTAGTACGAAAAGAGACATTTCTGAATTGGATTGAGTGAAGAAAGGGTAAAGACCTGCCCATTCCAGTACCCCGGTAAAAAGACTATCTGTCACAACGACTGATTGGTTATTGATCAGGCAGCTGTTGATCCACCTGCAGAACTTGTCAATCGGCTTGCGAACGTTTTTTCACGGTCACCAACCGCGCACTGATGGTGTTCCTCGAATGGTGACAAAACGCTTCGAAGCCATTTGTCAAGCTCGGCAAACGGATCAGAATCAACCTGGTCAACAGACCTGAAGTGAAAAGAAAATATGCATCTCTGAAAGCATGTCGCTAAGGTCACGGAGGGAGAACTCTGGCGATGAATATCTTATGTACCCTAAACAAAACCCATGCCCTGCAATAAGGGATGCTTTGATAGTGACTAAAAGGCCCGTAAACACCCCCTAAGATGTGCCATCGTTGGAAGTGAGGTCTAACACAAGGAACTTCCCAGATTCACTAAAAGAATAAGAAGTTGTGCGGACAAAATTGTGCACTAGTTGAATGTGCTTCTTCTGAAATCTGACCAACATCGACGTTTTACATTTAGCCGGATGCAACCAAAGTCGCCTAGCTCGGATAATCGTGAAAACCCTCAATCAGTCAGAATGATATTTTCATCATCAAACCTCGCAAATATCACATAAGAAAGGAAAATGAGGGGTGTCCAGTGTGGCTGAAGCGCATTTGACTTTTAAACAGTTGGCCTCAAAAAATTCCTTGTAAATATTGTTCTTGTACTTTTCTGCTGTACACATTTGAAGTGATGTGAAAAGATGAGCCGACTACAGTTTTGTGAAAACTCAGGGAAGTAGTGAACGTAGTGTCCCAAAAAACCGCTGGCTGTTTACATGAGCTATTTTTTCTTTTATTAACGTTAGACCCACGGAAATTCCACTCGAAGCTGAATAGTACATAGTTTATGGTTGCAACTAAGTTGCTCAGTAGAGTTCAGACAAACTGTCTTTTGGAAGACACAGAACGTTCAAGTCATAAACATCAGCGGAAATTGCGGCGGACTGAAGAGGAATCCATTGGAACTTGGGTATATATGTCGCCAAATAAGATCATATTCTGACAGTCAATAATTCGTAGAATTGATACTCTAAGTTGTTTGACCATGCGGTTCCTATAAAAAACCCGAGGTATGCATGAGTTGGTAACATGGTGATCAGTGAAAATCCATACAGTATAGGTAGACCCACCACATCGACTTTATCGAACTCTACTGGGGCCAAAATGACTGCGTTCTGAGAATCTGCGATCAATCTGTGAATAACAGAAACAACCGTATCCAAATTTTGGTTTGTTCCAATTGGGGGTAGAACGCGCGCTTTCCTCATTCGATGCAGGCATGCTTGCAGTCTTTCGCGAGCCACCAGAGGAAGCAGTCGGGCGTTGGGATTATTCGGATTAGTCTGGCTCAGAATTGTGGTCAGCCAGTCAATCCGCTCATTCATGTTGATGACGTCGAGGCTAGATTCACGATCCAACGCTTCTGTGACCAGCGACTCACCGAGAAGACGCGCCTTACGAGCTGCTGCTCCAACTATAGCAGTGAACTGGTCGTTGAAGAGAAACAGAAATAAACCTCGTGTGTCTGTGTCCTGTTACATCGGGCACACAAAAAAGATAGTAAAATGATTGCCCACCAGGTAGGTCAGTGTTACACTTGGTACATAGTGATAAAACGACCGAATGGCTATTTCACCATTCAAACATGCTCCAGCTGTGCTCTTCTCGTCCGCTTGTGACTTCAGCTCAGTGATTGCTTCGGTTCAAAATAACCGAAACCAGTTACTCTTCACAAATCGTCACAAAAATCACAAATTTTACCTAACTTTGCGAGCTGCATTCTCCCAACAAGAATAAAATGAGGAGCAATTTTATGGGAAATGAGCTAATACACCTATCCTGTGAGCAACAGCAGTATGATCAGGTTTGGAATTTAGAAGAATATATACACGCATCCACACGAATCACAATGTCCAGGGTGGTTGGTCCAAGTTTGCAAGAACGGCAGCCCGAAGGCATCTGTTATATACACGCATCCACACGAATCACAATCTCCAGGGTGGTTGGTCCAAGTTTGAAAGAACGGCAGCCCGAAGGCATCTCCTATAAAACACTGTAACCAAAAGTCGAAGTAAATCTGCCTTGGTGTGGTATAGACCTCCTTAGGATGGAGAAACCGGCGAATGCTTTTCGTAAGTAAACTAAAAGGATTTACTGTAACATAACCCATCAGCTTTAACTAAAACGGCACGCGCAAGCAAGCGATCATTCTAGGAAGAACGTTCCAGCTTTGTGTGTGGTGAATTCTGAGTGCTAAAATCGAATATGTAAAGGGAAGAAATGTCGCGTTACGCCATTTGCTACACTATTCTACTGCACCACTATCTGGAGATAAGGTGTGTACCAATATTGGTTCGGGCAGTCAAAGTGGTTCATTCTTAGGGAAGATTATCTCGAAATAAAGGGCCTTAGACCGTTTTTTACGGATAGTCATGAAAGAAAACGGCCGAGAAGATTTAGAAGCGGAGCTACGCTCAGATTAACTTAGCTTCCCACTGAAAAGCGAAATGGAGTTGTCGGTGGTACATCCATCAGACGTAGCTGGCGACGGATGCACGAAGACAAATTCTTGGAGCTTATGACGAGACAAGTGGCGCGTACGATGGAATTTATATTGACTGAAACACCTTTCCTTTCGCATTCACCTATTACGAATCAATTCTCAGGTGACTAATTGAGCAGCCTGGTTCTGTCATGAGAGAATGAATACTGTTAAAGTTCAAAGGATTGAATTTCGAAGCCGCTTCCTTCAACTAACTCCACACATTCCGAGAACGTGTGAACCTGGGATACAGACGAGTCCTAAACGAAAAACCTAGGAAGGGATGTCGCACTGTGTGTATTTAACTACACAGAAAGGGGCCAATCATCGTTTTGAGACGAACTTTGAGGAACAGCTTCCAGCGGGTACGAGAGGTCATTCAAGGGCACAGCTTATCCGTATTTAACATTATCAGCAGTCTCAAGCACGGTTGGTCTTTTAACTTATTGTACACTCTTATTATACAATCGCAATATGAAGATAGACAGCCACTGCGCTCGAATTGACACAGCTCGCAAAAAGATGTTCGGCATAAGGCTGCACGCAACAATAGGAGTTAAATTCACAATGGTTTGTAGGTAGCATCGGAGAGCGGCTGTAGATCAAAAGACGTACGATGGAAAGAAAGGATGGAAAAGAGGGTCAAGATATTTATGTCACTGGCCTCAGACCAAGGCTAGAGATAAGGTGGTTCGTTCGGTCACTAATGCCCCTCCAAGACGGACAATCATTTGTGAAAGGAGGATGGTTGGCCTCTGGAGAAATCACAATTAAGGAGGTAGTTGCTGTGAACTTGCCATGGAAATGGTTCACCCAAGTTGGATTACAATATTTCGCGGATGAACTGCCATTGATACTAAAAGGCTACGTTGATGAAGAAATTATCCAGGTTGGCGCAGACAGTGATTTGGTATCCACTAAAAAACAGCTACTCGGTCATACACAAATGGATATAGGCAGCCTGTGAGAACCAGTGAAATCGGTTGTCAACAAACATACCTCTTTTACCGCCTGCTTTCTGGCGCGAACCGACGTGACAACCAAATCAAAAATATCTCCAGTCTGATGCAGGTGTGTCCCACAGCACAATTCGGCAGTCAGGCCTTGCGCTGAAACATCACCGCTCCCGTGGTCAGAATTATCGAGAACCCGCGTGTCCCCGACGCAAACAGCGATCACTTCACTGGGATAGTCTACCCAAGGAAATCGGCGAACCCGTGGGTTCTGAAGAAGAAGAATGCGGCAAAAGGAGATCACATCAGTACATACGCAACATCCGAAGAATAAGCATACACCGGGACTAGGAGTGACATCTTTTTGGAGTGAGTTGCTTCAAGAGTATATGAACCAGTGGCCGGTTTCACAGGACCAGTCAGAATTATTTCGAAATGACAACCCGACGACAAAAACGCGCTCTTTGAGGTAACAGGATGATGTATACGCCCTTGTTTAAGCACTGCCATAGTCAATCCTTTTTTAGTCGACAGCGACTCTGTTGTTGCGGTGTGACGCTTCTCTATGCAACGAGTTTTCGTTTTAACGAAGGTAGTTCGACATATACGTATCTCACCTTATGAAGTTTGTACCGAACATCAAATCCTCAAGGTAAAAGTGGCAAAACCGTTCGTTAGGAAAGCAAGTGGTATGATACTTCTGGATTTACGGCAAGGCCACACGCCAATGTCTTGTCGTAATGGCGCCTTTTGTCACCCACACTGCATCCCCATTAACGGTTAAGTAGAATATTACCTGTAAGTGCGCGTGGCTGCATGGTTCAATCGAGTGGGAAGTCACGAGCTGACAGAAGCATGTAAGGATTGAATGGTGAAATTTCATGAGTCTCTCATATGGCACTGTCGAACTGCACTGTACTTTGAAAAGCAACACCTAACTTTTTGGACGGTCTATCCATACGAGATCCAGACACAAACATCGAGGTAAGCTTTTTGAGGGCATAGAAGCATCAGTGTAGGCATTAATGCTTCACTACATTAAGTGTCGGCAGCGAAGCATCGGTGTTGAACACTGATGTCATGCTGTCGAGGATGATGACCTTAAGTGTCTTCAAATCCAAATCTTCACACTGCGTCAGGTGCTAGAACAACGCCATACGTATAAGCGACCCACAATTCTAGTATTCCTGGATTTCCGAGGCGCATTCGACTCGGTTGATCGGTCTGTTCTTCTTGAGACGCTTGCCCACCAAGGAATGCCCCGGAAGTTTGTAAACATAATACGTTCTTTGTATTCTCAGACTTCCGGAGAGTGCAAAGCATCTAGCAGCACACATTCCCACTCGGTAATGTCCCTTTGTTGGGTCTTCAATGCCAGAGTGATAGACTTCCAAAGAGTACCATTAAGCCGTTCGACTTGTCCGTTACCGCGCGGATTGTATGGGGTAGTTCGACTGGTTGCTACACCCCTGTCGTGAAGAAACGTTTGTACTTCACCTGACATGAAAGCTCCACCACGATCAGAATGGACGTATGAGGGCATTCCGAACAAAGAGAACAACTGATTAAAACACTTGATCACGGTGGATGAGGACACATCCGTACACGCGAAGGCGAATGGGAAACGGGAGTACTCGTCGATCATTGTTAGAAGGTATTTGTTGTGGGAGGTTGATGGAAGTGGGCCTTTAAAATCTATGCTGACGCGTTCAAACGGCTGTGTAGCTTTAATAATATTGCCAAAAGGGTGATTGTTGTATGGCTGTGAGACTTGGCCTATTCGAGCAGCGGACCTGAGACGTCTTCATGTGTTCGACAATCGTTGTCTCAGAACCATAGCTCGTGTGGGTTGGTGTCAGCGAATCCGTAACGAGGCAGTTAGAAAGCGTGTTTTCGGTTGTGTAACGGGTACTTTCATTGAAGAATGTGTCCAGAACCAGAAGCTGCGTTGGTTGGGATATGTGTTACGTATGCCGAACCATCGTTTGCCGAAGAGAGTACTGTTTTCCATGCCCAGTTCGGAGTGGCGTAAACAGAGAGGTGGCCAACCCTTGACTTGGCGGAGGAGTATGAAGGAGATCACGAAACGCTTGGTTGCTGTCGGTGCTACTCGCCTTCCAGGATGGGGACCGCGTGATCCTCACTGTGCCTGGTTGGAGACACTACAAGATATGGCTGCCAACCGATGTCAGTGGCGTTCCTGTTGTCACATTCTGTCCAGATTGCCTGAGTGAATGTCTGGAGGTGTAGGCACCTCGGAATGATTGTGTTAAGCTAGCACTAAGTCTCTCCCCCATCCACCTTTATTCTTTTCTTTACAATAAGGCTTTCAAATAAGTCATGGTTGTACGGCAGTGAAGCGGCAGTGAAGTGTTGAACACTGATGTCATGCTGTCGTTGATGATGTGTCTTCAAATCATGGAGGTGAAAAAGTAAGAATGGAAAGCGAAGGGTGTTGGTGCTAGCCTACACAGTCATGCTTTAAAAGTTCAGTCCGACAGTCGGGAGGGAGAGGGCTGTATATGCATCTTTTGTAAACTGCATACGTAGCTTGGCTATCCCCAAGCAAACAATTCCATGGAATGCAGAATTCACGCCGTTATTCAAGTCTTTGTCAACAGATGACTGAGCACTTTGGGAGTGACTCTTAAAAAGGCACTTTAAGGGCTTGAATGTGATACAATGCCGTGGGCGCAGCATAAAGTCAAAGATAAATTATAGAATTGAAATGTTCCAAAGTCATGCTTTAAAAGTTCAGTCCGACAGTCGGGAGGGAGAGGGCTGTATATGCATCTTTTGTAAACTGCATACGTAGCTTGGCTATCCCCAAGCAAACAATTCCATGGAATGCAGAATTCACGCCGTTATTCAAGTCTTTGTCAACAGATGACTGAGCACTTTGGGAGTGACTCTTAAAAAGGCACTTTAAGGGCTTGAATGTGATACAATGCCGTGGGCGCAGCATAAAGTCAAAGATAAATTATAGAATTGAAATGTTCCAAAGTGCACTCCGATCTCCACATATTTTTTTTACTTTCTGATGTAACGAGATTGAAACGAGAGCGGTATACGTGGAAATCGTGCACTAAATTATATGTTAACGTAGTTTGGTGGTGAACCGACCTACGGTGAACTGTCCGCGATGAACCGAAAGTGACAACAACCCAACAAACAAGTCACACTGAAGATGCATCAGCCTTACACCTGATTCGGAAACAAAGGCATGAAATACACTGACTGCATTTGAAGAGCGACCCATAGAATTAGTCACTTGCTTTACTTCGGCTATCTTCGACCTGAGTATGAATGTTTCGAGCCACGGCTTCCCAAGGATCTAAAACATCTAGTGTGATTGTAGAAGGATAACACCGTAGGCAGCTTTTTGTACACTCTCCGGTGCTTACTTCGGTTGTGACTGGTGCACTCTACACATATTGCGCAGATATCTCCAAGACAACCATTTTGACTGACTAAACCCATTCGGTCGAAAATAACCAGTTCACAAAACTAATAAAAGTAAATACGACTTTCGCCAAGCAATCGGAGTGATAAACACAAGAGCGTTGTGTAGTAAGAACCATGTGATTACCTTGTCAACCTTATTCCAGTGCAGTTTCACCGCGGATACTGGTAAATCTTGATTAATGACAGACTGACATAGTGTTTCAACCTCATGCACCAGTTTCATGAGGTCATCCTGTACCTGCAATGGAGCTAAAATTGCGGCGTTGACTGTGAACCTGTCAGCGTGAACGGAACCCCCGTGAAGTTGTATCCCGGCGGCTTGTTGGGCACCGAAGAGTCGACGTGTATAGGTATCCAGCGCCCAGACAAATAAATGTTGACCGGTGTGGTTGCACATGAGTTGTGTTCTACGCTTCTGAGGGAGAATAGCCAGAATAGTAAAATGTATATTAGTGTGGGCAAAGCACATAGGTAGAACAATCAAAGTGCTGATACGCCGGAGCTCTCCTCGATGACAAACAGTAGGGATTACTGACACGGATTATGAGACAGAAAAACAGACAACATGAACAACAGGCACTGCGTTTTCTTCTGGCAAAGGCAAGCAAACTAAAGTTTGGGGAAATAAGTACGCATGGCACCATCCCAGATCAACTAACGGACCAATAATTAAACAAATAAATGGATGAGTGAACGCACAAAACGAGTCAAAACGTCTGAACCTCCACTCCTCAGTGCTGCCGAATTTTTTTTAAAAAAAAACAAAGTGGCAAGTCTTGATACCGGTGGCTACTCACCTGATCAACAAACAGTTCGGCCTCTTGCGTAGCAAGCAAGCTGTCAGGCGCCACTTCAGCTGTATCGACCGGACGACACCAATGTACTATCCAATCAAACCCATTCTCATTCGACGTGGTGATTCGCTCAACAGATTCCACGCTGAATTTCTGGAAAGAAAGGTAAGAGAAAGAATGAACGCTTCAAGGTCAGTACCGGGAAATGCAGTAAAAAAACAATGGCGCGGTGTGATTCCTCCCAAAAGTAGACTGGTTAGAAGGGAGCACTTCAAGCAGATAAAACAAACAGTTTGATCGCAATTTCTAAGGAACTGAGGAAGACGACGTCACTCATAAGAAGCGGTTAGGAGAAGAGGATGTTCTGTTCAGTGAATATTCGGCTTGGTAAAAAAATCGTCCAGCTGTAGCACCCTTCCGGTGCCTAACTGCCATGCCACCTAAAGGAAGCACGAGGGCTGGGATACTTCCAGGTTGCCTAAGCCTAGACAGGGGAAGTCAAGAGGCATAGGTCGGGTTCGAACCACGGGCCTGCCGGTCAGTAAGTTCGCGCCCTAACCACTTGGGCCATCCCGCTTGGTAAACTTCCGAGGAAAACTGCGAGTGTCCAGGTGTTTTGGAATCGATACGTGACGGGACCACCCAGAGATCACTTCTACGTATCAGACATATACAACTAGAACGAAGCAGATGCATGTTGTGGCTGTGGCAGCAAAAGAGAGTATACAAAACGCGTCAACTTACATACAGATTACGCTATATCGCATGTAGGCCATATCGCAGGGGCACGGAAACCGGCAAACGACAAATCTATATTTAGGCTATTCTATTTTCCTCCATATCTAATCCCCAAAAGCTTCCAAATTAATTATTCAAATTCAGTTCTCCGATAAAAAGTGACTGGAACGAGTTGTGAAGCGTAACGTATCGTGCGGCTACAATATGTAACTAAAGCCCACATCAACTAAAGGCACCCGACTGAAACATCCGAGTCCTCGCTGGGAACATACCCCGGGATTTTGGGCCAAGCCAATAAGAATTCACAAAAAGGCCACAGTAAATGGTCTCCAGAACAGCACTAACATGTGTGCAGTGTCCATCGTGCTTTAAAAGCAAATCGAACGAAGTATTCGGATCGGCAGGAAAATAGCGTGTGAGTTGCCATCCTCCAAATTCGGACAAGAATACCAGAGACATGAGACTGAATAGATTTAGAAGCGATAAGCATTTGAATTACTGATATGTAGCTGTCACTAAATTTTTTATCAATAGCTGTTAAGGAGCTCTGAGCAATAGTTCTAACCGAAGTGAGAGGGTCAGAATGGAGTCAGGCGTCAGACTAAACGACAAGTATCTCCAAGTTGAAAATTGGCACAGAGTGTACCTTTACCTAAAAAGGGTAGAGGGATAGTGAAGAAAACATCCTGGTTTCAAAGACATCACCACTATGGCAAGGGTCTCCGATCGCGGTGTATCTGTCCTCCGGTATTATTAAAAAACATGGGATAAGAAGAACGCACGTTACCCGCCACAATTAATCGGAGAAAATGGTACAAGATAGGGGAAGGCTGACATGATGACCGCACGATTGTCGATAGTCAAAACAGAGATCTTAAAAGTGGACCCATAGTGTTCGCACTGTGACTATTTGGGAAGCGGTCTTGCACGGTGCTAAAAAGGTCCGAAAAGAATACACAATGGAGATATATGGATGCATTACACATTGATAGTTCAACAACCTATTAGTCTGCGAACCCGAAGAAAAGCTGGAAACTAACCATCACAGACACTACATTCGACCCGGCCAAGAAAATTGTGTAAGTCGTTCCGAATTATGAGTTACGAGTTGACCAGCCCATTATCCGGATTTCGGCCCAAGGAAAATGTCTGGGGAGGGGAGATTCCTCTAAAGACCTTGCGTTTTATAATTCTAATGAACTCGTGGTAGTTGTACTCCACAAGTGGCAGAACCTTGGTATTCAAAATACGAACAAGGTATTCCGAGATATTCCGAAGCATACGCGAGGGCCGCATTCGTATTAAATAATAAATAATGTTCCCGTTAGATTTTCGTTGCCGTCCATGAGTGACATCTCATTTCGCACTGTGGAGGAAAGTTAAACGCCATAACTAATGTTTATCGATCTGTATCAGGCAACCCAAGGTGAATCGATCAATCAAAATTCGAGATTTTTATTTTCCGCTGTAGACTGATATACTCAAGGAGATTGGGTGGCCTTATATACACCGTATCTGCACATCTGCTGGAGAGGTTTCTTAAAAGCCTCATCCAAGTCACCTTAAAGTCATGTTCTTCGCCCAATCTCACCTTTCGGCACTATTGTGATGGAGAACGGATGGAAGAACACCCTACTACCATCGCAGATACATAAAAGTGTTCTCAGTTGCACCACATACTATCCTGAGGAGCATCGACAACAGTTTTGGATTCAAAACATTGATCCCTTGAACGAACTAACAATCAGGTAGCGCAGACGTAGCCTACCTTACATGGAGTAACTTGAGACACAAATAATTTCGAAATTCCTTCCATACACCCACCCGAATTTCTGCTTGAGTGATAATGGCAGAGTTTGGTAAGCTGTCTCCTAAGACAAATAGGTTCGGTCACGTGATTAAAGTATGTCATTTTTATTCTACACCCTGTCTTTATATATATATACATA